CCCTAATAAACATGTAATGTACGCGTCGTATACGTAGGCATGGAACTGATTATGTCAAAGAACAGTTCAAATGACCAAAAATGTATGAATGCCATGTGTAGTACTCTGTACAGCATTTTTGGTGCCACATGTTTTTGCTTTTTTTTTTTTTTTCTTCTGTGTGCACACAGTCTGTACAGAGGGGTATCTGTTAACATCTTTATAGCCTCTTTACAGCCCCTCTGAGGAACCAGAGCTGGACCTCATAAACTCTGCATGAGCCTGTCCAGAGTCGCGACCCCGGGGACCCTTGTGTGTTTGTGTTTTGTGTGTGTGTGCGCGTTCACAAATGTGTACAAAAGGAAAAAAAGATCAATGAGACATCAATACTTTCTCATCCCTCTTCTTGTAACACATGGAGAAAATCGCACATGTGGGAGCTGGGCTTCCATGTGGCATCCCGGTGCCGGTTTGAGGACGAGGGGGGTTGGGGACTTGTGAGCTGGTGCTGTTTTGTAGAAAAACTCAAATGTTCTGATAGAAAAATTTAAAAAAAAAGTTCCTCCAGAAAACAACCCTGTGTCCCTGAATGATTATCCACCAACAACATTAATAAAACCACATGGAACACGCTGCCTGAGTTCCAAAATAGACGTGACCGGAGAGAGCGGGAATGCTGGAAACCTGCGAAACCTTTTCTTCTCACAGCTTGTTAGGGAAGGATGGACATCTTGTTGCTATAAGCTGTGGGCTGGTGTTCGCAGTTTCTGTGAACTCCCACCCTCAGCAAGATGTGACGCTAAGTATAGCCTCATCTCACCTCTCTCAAGGGTCCCCTCAGCATATGGGGGCCCCCCTTTCCTTACAGCATCCCACACAAGCAGCAGCGGCTACAATAATGACCTGAGAACTGATACTAAGACTGGACTCTGTCAAACGGGCCAGAGCGCTCTCAGATTTGTTTCTGGACCAGCAGAGAGGAAGCAGGGGAGGAGGGGGGACACACAACTGACCTCCCACCTTTCAACCCCATGAGCCTGATTTTCCACAGAGGACTGTTGGTTTGTGGTGGTTATCTTCTCAGGGTCCGCCCAGAGTGGGAGACCCCCACTATCAAATAAACACATAGCACATTTATCAGCACAAAAAAAATATAAACAGTTACGCAAGTCGTTAAGTGGTGTTTGTGTATATATGTTTACTTCTGCACATTTTCTTCCTCTGTTTGTTCGTGGGGGTCATGCACAGTTTTTTTTCTTCTTTCGTGTAAATTAAATAAGATCTTTGCAATTCGGTCCGTCCAACGAAAACATACTAGCGTGTCTTCTCTTGTGTTCTTCATACAAGAAAAATAAATAAATCGGGCAGATTTTCTGACATATAACATCCGCTGTTATGTAATATTTTTGTTTAATTAGTGAAGGAGGGGAAGAAGAAAACAGACCTTTGACAAACTACAGTAGCAAAGAAAATAAATAAAAATGCCATGCTTTTAATCCAGAGAGAGAGAGAGAAAAAAAAAATTAACTGTGATAAAATAATTAGCTGGGAGATTGATGTCCAGCGAGAGTAGAGGTTTGATGCTCTCTGCTCCGTTGCCTCTCCTTATCTGCTGCCCGTACAGACGCTGCCTGTAACTAAATCCCTGTGTTTGGATCAGCAGACAAACACGCTCACAAACACGCTCTCCCACGCCGAGCTCAAACTGCTAATCGCTCAGCTACTCAATTTGGAAATTTTGTAGCAGAATTAACTCCCGACGCCTGTTTTTTTTTTTTTTTTTCATGCAGCGAGAGGGAATCATGTGTCAACGTGTTGGCCGCGAGTCGGTTTAATTGATTGTCTGCAGATAGGGGTGAAGGGAGACCGCCGCTCCACAATGCCGACAAAGGTCAAAGGAGCAGCTCTGAGATAAAAACCAGTGAAAGTACGATGTTTTCGTGTTCGTAGTGACAAAACTTAACAAGACTAAAATTGACTTTGTGCAGCAACAAAGTGTGTAGCTGCTATGGGTAGTGTTTTCTAATGTAAAGCTGAGGCGGCGACTTTGATTCGTTTTCCAGACCACATTCAAATTCTGAACCCTAACCCAGATTGACGTTGCTGCCAGAAAGGCTAAAAACGGAGAGTGTACTTAAAGAGCTCCTACATTTTGCTTTTTGGGGCTTATTTGTTGTGTGTTTTAGCTTTTCTTTATTTGTGCATGTAAAAGGTTTGAAAATGTGCAAACTCCACAGCTTAGGGAGTTTTTCTCTCCCACGGAAAACCAGCCTGTGACGCCTCATCTGAAGTCCAAGCTGTTCTTCTGTTACTTAGTGACATCACCATGTAACACATTTGCATAATGCCTGCCGGATAATTTGGCGCGCCCTGGAACGAATTAGCAGTTTGCTTGCAGTTTTCTTTCCTTTTGCAACAGCTGCATCCCCACATTAAGAGATCCTGATTTACAGTAAGTAGCTAACGTTGCATTGCATTAATCAGGCTTGCTGACCAATCAGAGCAGACTGACTTTTTAGAAGGGGGACTTTAAAAATTAAAATGGAGTGTTTCAGACAGAGGATGAGAAAATGTGCTGCATCAGTGTCCAGTACAAGAAAAAAGATGTGATTTTTGAATTTTAAATAAATAAATTCTAGTCGTCTCATAAACTTGTAAATATGTTTTTTTAAAGTCTTGCTAAATCCTCAGTGTTTTAACATTTTGCATGATTATTGACTCGTTCTTGATGCTTGCACATGTAAGATTTGAATCCATTTTTACATCTATGAAGGTGCCTCGTGTTTGACTTTTTTTTCTAGCTAAGACCTAGGTGTCAATCTTAGTGTAGTAAAAGGAGGAAATGAACTAGCGTGGAAGCGTTATCTTTCAGAAAACCTTCTCTAAATGCATTTTCAACCTCTTGATTACAGAGGAACCGCTTGGAGGCACAGACGGAGTTCAGTTCTGTTTTTTCTTCTATTTCTGTTGGCCGGCATGACACCATAATTTTCTGTTTTTAGTCGTTGCATGTCATGACGGAGGGCCTTTGGCTTGTGAGTGTCTGTGAGGGTATGTGTGTGCTTGTTGGCTAACATCTGTTTTTGTGAGGACCGATGTGAGTTTCAGAGGACACTTCGGCGGCCCTAAATGACCCTTAGATGAGGGAAGCGATCAGGCGTTTAGTTTTGATTGCTGAGGTTGCGGCGAGGCGCTGGAAGGTGCACGACGTTCGATGAGGGTCCTCGCAAGGATACAACATGCGAGCCTGTGAGAACAACTGTGCATACCCGGCATGCCAGTGGAGGAACACTGCATCACAAACTTTCCCTTCTGGAAAGCATAACTATCCCATTTTAACAGCTCCGCAACATACGGCACATTCCCGATTTTCTCATATCCTGCGAGGTTCGCAGCAACAACAACAGAGCTCTTCATTTGCGGCCTTCAGAAAAATCCGCCGCTCTCCGTCTCGCCTTCATCCCTCATCCTCACTGTCAACTTTCCCACGGCTATTAGAACATGTCACATCCTGATAGATACTCAATGGAGCAGAGTGCGCACACATGTAAACAGATTCGAGCACGTCGCGTCGATGAGGCGCGCGGCGAGATTGAGCACATCCAGTCGCGCGAGTATTGAAGCCGAGGTGCACGCTCGTGCGACGGCGTGCTTGCTGCTCGCACGCTGGCGGCGGGAGGGAGCGATGAACGCTCGCGCTGTTGATCAAAGGAGCTGTGATGTAATCAGTCTCTGAGCTTTTTGCACGCATCCCTCATTAACTTTCACCAGAGGCTTTAATGAAAAACCACTGGAGGGAATCTCCGCTTTCTCTCCTCTTCCTCTCTCTCTCCCCCTCCTCCTTTTTTTTTTTTTTCCTTCCTTCTCATCTTCTCGTTCACTCCCTGCAGTTTCTGCTCGTCCTCCTCCTCATTCATCTTCCATACTGTGCCTCTGTCTCCCCTCCTCCTCCTCACCCTCCTCACTCCCTTCTCCTCTGCCCCAGTGGCTGGCTTGACTTCCGCTGAGACAGAGTAAATATTTCCCATGGCTTATCTTGACCGCTGGCAGAACGAATATGACACAAAGTGCGAGACTCCGCTAATTAACACACAGCCTCCGTCCTCGGGGTCAGAGGCCTCCGGTTGGGACAGTTCGGGCTTTAGGTTTGACACCTCAAACACACCGGCGTGGGATTTATTACAGTCGAGTATGACACGTGGTTGTGTGTCTGCAGTCGCTGGAGACTCCACTGTTACTCTTAACGCACATCTTGATTTGATTTTCGCAATTTTGGCCTTTTCTGGGTAGAGGCTCTAGGAGGGAGGAAGAAAAAAAAAAAAAAGGAGGGATACAATGAAAAACAAAAAAAAGTTTCTCCCTCTCTCTCCCTCTCTTTGAACGCTGGCTGGTGTCCAGGTACAGTCCAGCCCCTCGGTCATGATGAAGGTGTGACGCGCAGCAACTTCCCTGTTGTGCAATCGTAAAGGAGGCTCTTGGGGGCTATAAGACCCCCCAACCTCATCTGGTTTCTCAGAGCCTCCGGTCTGTTTTCTCCGCACACACAGACGGACGGAAGCGTGATATGGTTGCGGGTACTCAGCTGTTCAGATTGCTCTTAGAGAGGTCGAGGAGCAATTGTCAAGACATGGACTTTAGCCAAAAGAAGCAGTGAAAACTGCTTGACTCTCTGGACTGGACACTCAACACATCAGGTAACATGAATCCTATCCACTGATTAAAAAAGGCTTGTTTGATTGAAGAGCTAGAGTGAGGGTGGTGTCTTGTTGCAGCTCTAATCCAGCTGTTTTAGCTTAATTACTATTTACTTTGATAGTAAAATGTTAGTTGATGATTTTCCAAACATGACCGACTGATTTCTTTAAGCTGGACTCATTCCTGCTGTTTGTCTTCCTCAGGATCAGTTTCTGTATGATTCCTGTAAAACCATGAAAATTAAGTCGACACTTTTTTTTTCATCTAAATCAGGAATGTTAAAACGTTCACTTTTTAACACCGTACTGCTGTTTCTGAGGAATCCAATAAGCGGCGAGATGATTACAAGCCCTTCCTATGTATTTCATTACAGCTCCACTTCAGCGTGGTGTAATGCATTTCTGCTGTGATTAGTTATCAAGTAGGACGGCTAATAAACACTCGAGCCAGCTAAAGATTACCAGGCGGGGGAAACTTCGTCCATAAAAGGCAGCTGAATTTTAAATGCCCTCCTGATTTGTTTTGTTTCCAGCTGACCTTGGATAACTCAAAGGAGGGAATCGTGTGACGCAAGTTCCATTATGGCGGTCCCAGATGACCTCTCCGTTTTCAACACCACCTCTTCCCCTTATTCATCCACGGAGGTTTTTGCCAACACCACAGAATACTCGAACGCCACTGCCGCCCCCTGCACAGACTGGCCTCCTGTACCGATGACCACGGTGATCCCCTCCATCTACAGCGTTATCTGCGTGCTGGGAATCCTCGGCAACGCCTTGGCGGTGGGCGTGTTGGCCCACGCCAGCGCCTCAAGGAGGACCGTAGCTAACACCTTCATGCTGAACCTGTGCGTGTCCGACCTGCTGTGCCTGCTGTCTCTGCCGCTGTGGGCCGTCTACTACTCCCGGGGCTACAGCTGGCCCTTTGGTCAGGTGGCGTGCAAAATCTGCGGAACTCTCCACAACCTGAACCTCTACGCCTCCATCTTCTTCATCACGTGCATGAGCATGGACCGCTACCTGGCCATCGTCTATCCGCTCCGCTCCCAGAGTGCTCGATACCCCAGACGTGCCCGGCTCACGTGCATCCTGGTGTGGGTTCTGGCATGTGCCTGCTCGGCCCCTACCTTGACCCTGAGAGACACTTACTACATTGAGGGGCTTGGAGTGGAGGCCTGTGTGATTTTTTACCCCGACAACACCTGGTACAGGACGCTGACCTGGATGAAGATCGTCGTGGCGTTCGTGCTGCCGCTGCTGGTCATCTCTTGTTGCTACTGTGCGATTGGTAGACATTTGTTAGCTGACACAGGTTTGGCAAGAATGCAGAAACCATCCCACCCCGTCCACAGCATGCCCTCTTTTAAATCACTGGAGTCCCAGGAGGGTCATAGTAGACCAGAGAGACCCCCGACCCCCAGCGTGACTCCCAGCCACAGCGGGGGCAGACCCCTGGGGGGCAGGGGGCTGGAGAGGGTGCTGTGGACAGTGGCCGCCGTGGTCCTTGCGTTCTTCCTCTGCTGGTTCCCCTTTCACTGCGTGACCTTCATAGACGTGCTGATGAGCGAGGGCTGGCTGGATAGCTGCTGGGCAACCTGGACCATCCAGAACCTCACCCCTCTCACCCTGTGCTTGGGCTTCTCCAACTCGGCCATCAACCCCGTGCTCTACTGCTTCATCGGGAATCATTTCCGGGGCCGACTCAGGGGCCTCTGCAAAGGCCTGAGTGCTTGTTTGAAGGCCCGTGGGGAGGAACACAGCCAGAAGAGAGGCTCCTTCAGCACCAGGCTGAGCTCCTTCTCTCGGAAACTTAGCGACCTCAAAGACCTGGCGATTGTGGAGCCCTCCGGTCCCGCTTAGCAAGGCCCCCCGACACCTCCCCGAAGAATGGACGTCAAATGACTGCTGAACTCCAATAAGCACGCATGTGTTAGATGGAGCTGCTACTATAATTGACTGAGTCAGATTCCTGCAGAGCTCAACTCTGCCTTACAAAGACAGGAAGAGTAACTACAGAAAAGAGAAAAAGGAGATTTAAAGAGGGGTTTAAAGAATCTAACAAACAGATAAATGTAATGCTTTTTCTTTTTTTTTTAGAGACAGATTATTTAACACACTTGATTTGGATAATCTTAAAGCAGTTAAGCAGATGTTATGTTATTCACAGTCTGTTCTTTTTCTTCTTCTTCTTCTTTTGGCCACAGCAGGCAGCTCATCTGAGTGACAAAACTCTAAAAACTCACTGTACACATCTTCTCAGCAGGAAAACAGATGACAGACACAGTAGGCAAGTAGCGAGTGGAGGTAGTGAAGCGTTTAGTTGCTAAATAACCAAATATAGCGCTATAAAGGAAGCTTAGAAGGAGTGAATGCTACACTTTTACTCACCAGGTGAATACGAGTCCGAATGATAATGTTGCTCGGCTGCATGTGTAAAGCAAGCAACAGTTTCCTAACAAGTTTTCTAACATTGACTCGGAAGGCGTCGATACTTCAATGTTTTATTCACAACTCGTTTCTGCGCCCCCAGAGAGGCAAAAATAAACAAATAAATGATTTTTAAGAACTCTTACCAGTTACTGTGAACAAGAAAATGCCTTTAGGGGACTCTAGAGCGAGGCTAAGATAAGCTAGCAAAATATTTTCGCTTGCTCTGTCACATTATTGTTTCTTCCTTCTTGTCGAGTTGATTAAAATGCTCCATTAATACAAATTTACAGGCCAACTTGCTAAAATATGTTGGATAATCAAAGCAGACTTCCTGAATTAAAGGTAATTGGTTGTAAATTCAGCTTTAGGCTGTGACTAGCTCACCAGCTAATGTCAGCTAAGGCCTTTAGGGGAATCTAGAGTGAGGCTAAGATAAGCTAGCAAAACATTTTAGCTTGCTCTGTCACGTTATTGTTTCTTCCTCCTAGTCACGTTGATTAAAAATGCTCAATTAATACAAAATTACAGGCCAACTTGCTAAAATGTGTTGGATAATCAAAGCAGACTTCCTGAATTAAAGGTACTTGGTTGTAAATTTAGCTTTAGGCCGTGGCTATCTCACCAGCTAATGTCAGTTTGCTTTTTAATCTCTGTTTGGTAGTTTTGCAAATGTTAGGCTACATGTGTATTCTGTGTCAATTTGCATTACATGACAATATTTTATACTATAAATCAAATGTCAGACAACTAACTTCATCTCAACTGAATTTGTGGTCACTACATTTTGGCTAAAAGATAAATAAGCTACAGCTGTGAGGACAAATATTAGCTAGCCACATGCTAATTTTACTGTTCTTTTTTTGGGTGGGACCGAGCTATTATACGTGTAATCATCTTGTAATATTTTTATCTTGTTATTCTGTAAAGTCAGTTTTAAGTGATTAATAAATAATATGAAGAAAGATTTCCCTACAAACTCTCTTCGTATCTTCTTCCTCGACTGAAACGGGAGCTAGCGTGGCTAATTTTAGTCCAGTTCCACACATACACTTACTTTGTGAAACCAGATCCATTTGCAATTTTTAATGTTCCCTTTTCCCAATCTTACAGCCTAACAGCTGTGACTGAGAGCTTCCCCCACCTGGGAATGAGAGCGCCGAGATTACTGTCAGCCCGGCAGATGGACATCCAGTCTCCCCCGATTTTCTGCTCCTCCCAGCATGCCTCGCATTGGTTTCTCTACATATCAAGGCCAGATATCATATCATAATCTCATATTAATGTCCTTATGATGCATTCCAGTCCAGCCACTTGTGTTGGTGGAGGGAGCCGCCAGCTAATCAATGATGTATCTCTCGCTGCTATTTGTGTCCAGTATGGATCCGCTGCATTCTGCATTGACCCTGGGTTGTCTCTCTGTGAGCTGAGAGCCGATTCTGTACATTTTTTTTTGTTCCACACCGTCCGAGGATTGTTATAACCCAGAAAAGCTTTTGCTCCGTGGTTAAGTGCTGCTGTTTCTCATCTATTTTCTAAAAAGATAGCTTTTTACAGATTGATATGGCACCAAAAAAAACAACTTCCCTGCTTGATGTTCCTGCAGTCGATCAAGCCTTGTAAGTTTGTTTAAACATTTTTTTATTATTGTGCCACTGGATGGCGCTAAAATTCTGCACATGCAACGAATTAGACTGCCACTGGCATGCTTTACCCAGACAGAGGCCCAAAGTCCCACCGCTCATGATCTTTCTGAGCCGAGGGAAAAATGGCTCTGACACAGACTGATGACTCATGTCGGCTACAGTTCTGAATATATAAAAACAGACATCCTCAACAAACGCCTGCATTAAAAAAAAAAAAAAAAAAAAAGCAGATTCACCAGCTCGGAGAAAAATATCTGAAAGCCAGAATCACATGGTTAACCTCACTGAAGGGTCTTTTGTGAAGGGTTGGTCGTGAGCAGCACCGAAACCAGGAATAATACACATCTTGACATGACAGATGAGCCTAAAATACCAGATGCTGTGCTATCAGCTCGTTAAAAAAAAAAGAAAAAGCATGCGGCATGTCATGCAGCAAACACTGAATATTTTAATCACCAGATCCTTAATTTGACACAGCAGAACTTTCCGACTGACAGGACAGATTGCAGGATGATTTCCTTGTAGCTCCGCAGAATGTGTACAGTATGCCCACAGCTTCATTAGCTGATTCCTCGCTGTTTGGCGGAGCAGGTGCGAGCGTCCTTGACACATGTTTAGCAGAAGACAGTCCGGTGACATGTGGCTGCGAAGTGTGTGATGAGGAAATGTATTCTGAGAGGTGTACAGTAAACAGCAGGTGATAAACATTTTGCTTGTCTGCGGTAAAACGTCTTCCTCTCTCGCAAATCAGTTTGATTTAATTGAAGATCTGGGTGCAGATTAGTCAGTCGCTGTTTTCCTTTTTGGTGTTTTAAGTTTAAGGAGGAAAATAAGAAAGATCGGGGAAAGCGGGAGGCAACCAGAGGCCCCCAAATCTGGCCTTTCATCCAAACTGTCAGGCCTCGTGACGGTATTTCTGTTTTGAAGGCGTGCGTCACAATGTTAACATAATGTCTCATATTGCTGGTAACTATACACCCCAATAAATACGTCTGATCTGATCGGAGCTGGTGTTTAAAATCTTCAAATAAAATGCAATGAAGTAAATAATTATAGGAAGTAACGAGGCTAAAGCAAACAAGCGTGAAATAAAACACAAACCGCAGCCTGTACGTCTTTGTTGGCCCTTCTGTGCTGAAAAAGTGGCCCTCGGTTGAACCCAATTGCCAGTTCCTGAACCAAGCGTGTGAACTCCAGTGCTGTACTTATTGTAAGTGTAATTTTGAGGAACATGATATTTCCACTCCATTACCCCTCAGTGAAACAGAACACACCTTTTCCTCCGCTGCATTTATTTCTGAGCTGCAGTGTAAACACATGCAAACTCAGGTTAAGATGATCAAATGTTTTTTTTACCAGAAAGTTTCAAAAAGATGATTGTAAACTATTTTTATGACATGAAATGTAATTTTATGTAAAACTAGCTCCAGTCAAAATGCACCAGTAATGATCTTGATTACATTTTATTGATAATATTTCTGTACTTTTACTTTAAAATGCACGGTGATGGTTCATTTTTCCATTAGCATCAGGGCCCTTTTTATCAACTTAAAGGATCAGAAGACGTCTACCAACGCTGAATCTTAACTCATTATTCATGAAAGCTGTGGTGGAAATATTTACAGCGTAGGCACGCTGGTGTTAATGAGAAAACAAAGCCATGTTGGAAACAGTGAAAGTCACACAATAAGCAAAATATATATTTTCCTGTGTGAAAACTGTGAAATTGCTTTTTTTTTTAAGTATCCCCCTCTTGTGCTTTCTATTGTTGTGGAAATATTCAGTTAGCATCTTTGAAGTTATTTCCTGTCGAAAAATACAATCATTTCCTGAGAGATGCACGAACACCACATTTTACGTGAGTGTGTGTGTCGGTGTGTCGGTGTGTGTGTGTGTCGTACAGAGAACAAAGACGAGCTCCGAGCATCAAGTCGTACAGGTTGGAGGTTAGAGAGCGGCTGCTGTAAGAGTCTGGGCGAGAAAAGTGGAGAAATCTGAGAGCTCTCTTGGCAAAAAAGCTCAGCCTCCCTGAGCAGAGAATTTGAAGCAAGTAATCGAATGAGAACGCCGGACAGCTGCCTTACCTGAGTCTGGAGAAGAGACGGGGAAGACAAAGAGTAAAAAAAGTTGAAGGTGAGAAAGACAAGGAGGAGAGTTGGCACTTGGGAAGAGGAGGAAAAAAAGCACACCTGGAGAGAAGCTGTGATGGAGAACCTGGTTGTGTACCACGGACCCATCGGTAAAGAAGAAGGCGAGCGGCGGCTGGCCCAGGACGGCCGAGATGGGTGCTACCTCGTCCGCAACAGTGACTCAGTGCCGGGAGTCTTCTGCCTGTGTGTGCTGTGAGTATGAACAGAAATTGTGCAACAGAATCTGCTTTTGTTCTCCTTTTTCTTTCTTTTTATACATATATATATGTGAGGCCTCATCGTCACACCGACACTTGCGTAATCCTATTTTGTGCTGCAATAGGGATTTATTGATCCCGTCACATTTAAGAAACACAAAAGGCAGAGTGAAACCTAAAAAAGACAGTGAGGTCTATTATCATCGAGTGTGAAATGAAGAGTCCTGCAGCTGCAGCAGCAGCAGCAGAGCGGTAAATGTCATTAAACTGAAAGATGAACTTGAGGTCAAAGGTGTTACTGTGTGTGTTTGTGTGCAGCTGCAATGGATACGTCTACACGTACAGAATCCACAAGGACGACACGGGCTCGTGGGCTGCAGAGGTGAGACATCTTATCTGACTTCTTGCCTTTTTTTTCTCTTTTCACACCCCCCATAAAGAAAAAGCTTTACAGAAGCAGGTGCACATCTGCCTCGCTTTAGTCGCTGTTTGTTGGTTTAGAAGTTGTTGTGGTGCCGGCGTAATTCAACAAGCTGTGAATCTGAGGCAAACATGTTTCAGTTCTTCTTCTTTTTTTTCTTTTTGTTTTGTTTTTTTTCGAGGAGTGACAGCGCCGAGAAACGGGTACATTTCTTTTAGCAAAAAAACACCCTGCGAGAATCCCCCACCACCTCCACCTCAAATTTAAAGACAGCATCAGCATATACTCCAGAGATGAAGAAACATAGAATTGCATTTGACAGCATTTCTGATGGGATATGTAATTGAGCACTGAGGGCTGGCGTGCACCCAGAGATGGGGAATGTATAGAGACATCTGAAGGCTATGTCTCTCTCTCTGACGACTAAGCTAGATGCCGTTGTAACGACATTTTACCCTCGCTCATTCTCCCTGACAGCATCAAGACGTGAACAGATGGGGGGGGGTAGAGGAGAGAGAGAAGGTTTGAATTACAAGAATTTCACTACAAGCTCCATAACAGTTTACATTATTCATGTGCAATATCAATCACTTTAATGAAATATTCTCGGGGAACAGAGGTACCACTTGTGGCCGGAGACAGGAGCATCCAAAGTGCTGCGCTGTGGGAAGCGCTCTCTTGATTAAATGATTTTAAAATGCATTCAAAGAACACAATTTCCCACCATTTCTTACGGCATGATTGATGGCGCCGAATGAAAACACATAATGCGTTTTTAAAGGCCTTACTTGACAAAATTACAGTAGTTTTCAAAAAAACAAAAGTGCAATGGTTTAGAGATATTAAAGTGGCAGCTGTGGGCAAACAAACAAGTGGGAAATTGATGTGTGTGTGTGTGTTATCAATTAGAAATACTGCAAAAGCTCCCTGAAAGAGCCTTGGATAAAAAAGAAGAAGAGAGCCTGAAAGCCCAAATGAAACCCAGAAGATGGGTTTAAAAAACAAATTATTTTATTTTTACTTAACCCCGCAGATCATTTCTTAAAGTGATCTTTGTGTTTTTGCAGCTTTCTTCTGTCACAAGTAAAGCTGTTGAGATAATGGGACACTTCAAGCCTCTTAGATGTCACGCATAAATTCCTCGAATATCGCTTTTTATTGACTAACAAAATATAAAAACACCCAAGGGAGCCGATGTTTTTAGAGGTAGCTGCGTCCTGAGTTTTCCAAATTTAGCTTTTAAACCCCCTCGAGTCTGTCATTAGTATATTTTCCTCCTTTTTTAAACTTTAATTTCTCCTGCATCATGTTTTTTTTATTTAAATTTTTTGTATTAATATCTCCTTTTATTGTCTTTAAAACAGTGTGGATGAGTGGAGCACATACATATAAATCCCAGTCTGCCCTTTTTTTTGCACAGCACACTTGCATTTTCTGCTTCCACTTTCAGCGTATCTGATATCTTTAAGGTGAATCTGTGAGAGCTCATTTCAAGACGGCCCTGTCCCGTCCTCTTCATTTCCCCCGTGGGGTTTGATGTGGAGATGGGAGACGGAGGCGCTCTGAATTCTCCTCTTCACTCTTTCATTTTTCTTTTTTTTCTTCCCTTCCCTTCCCTCCACCACCACCACCACCTCTCTCTTGTGTTTCAGACCACTCCTGGTGTGCAGAAACGATATTTCCGGAAGATCAAGAACTTGATAGCGGCTTTCCAGAAGCCCGAGCAAGGAATCGCCATGCCTCTGCTCTACCCTGTCACCGCTCAGAGACGGGCACAAACATACACCGAGGCCCAGACGCCCAGCGGTAGCCTGTCGCCGACACACAGCAGCCCCAACGCTTTCCACCTCCAGCAGACGCCGCATGGTGCTCAGGGACAGAAAAACAGGAACAAGAAGGAGGTGCGGCAAGCTTTTGGTTAGGGGCATACCCTAACTGGCCTAATTAGAAAGAACAACACCATCTTTGTTGCGTACTTCCTTTCATGCTGTGTGTGACACAAATGTCAGTTTTTTCCTTGTTTGTGAAATGTGACTCAGATCTCCTTCCAGTGTCTTCTTCTTCTTCATCTCTGGCCCCATAACTTTCAGGGATGTGATGTGTGAAATATTCCACATTTATATCTATTACTGCATACGTAAGTTGACAACGAATATTGTGCTGTGTTCTCTTAATGCAATAAGAGTTGTGTGATTGGCCGAGAAAAAAATAAATGATATTGCTTGAAATGAACTCTTTCAAATAAGGTCACGCATGCACAACCCCGCACACATCCGTCTGACATATATAATGTGGAGTGGAGGGTGGTGGGGGGGAGAAGAAAAAAAATTCAATTTGACATATTGAAGCGCTGATTTCCGTGGAGAGAATACTGACTGTTGGGCGGGAGAGAAGGGGTGATGGGGGGGGAGAAGGAGGGCTGCGTCATTCATCTGATTGACATAACTGGCGCCTCGTGACAAAAAAAATTGAAAGAGAGACACAGAAAGAGAAGGAAAAAGGAGAGAGAGAGGCAGCGAGAGCATCCATTCAGCTCAGACAATTCTTCAGTGCAGCGGTCTCCTAGCAACCGGACCCTCCATCTTTTCACGGCGGAGACGAGGTTGGACAGTATCTCGCGCGGCATATGGTTTAGAAAAGGGAAGGTGCATCGCAGCCGATCGGCGGAGTGCTAGTCGGGAATGTATATCACCTGCTCGCAGTCAGAACATATGCATTGTGTGTCTCTGTCATCGGCAGCCCAGGAGAGAAACACAAACAATTAATGGTGGGCAGATGGCGGAGTGACGGCGGGAGGGAGGCGAGTGTGGGGGAAAGGCAGACGGACGGGGAGGTGGATTAGTGGTAGCTAGATTTAAAAAAAAAAAAAAAAAAAA